TTTAGATAGCTGATGAAATCAGATTCAACCTATTACCTTTCCTTCATTTTAGAGGGGATCAGCAATGTATGAGTAGCAGTATCTGTGGATAGGATGTGACTGATGAAATTTATTTGCATTTTATCACACCATTAGCAAAACTGAAATTCAGCACTCTGAAATCAGCATGATTAGGAGCAGGAACTTTTGTACCAGGCTTTATGAACCACTGTGTAGTCAAAGAACAGTTTGAAGAAACCATCGAATCCCCAGAAACTCTATGTAAAAGTGTTTTTCAGTTCTGTATTGTCATCTCCTAAGTTCTTTCCCTATTAAAATGACATTTTAAGACCTAAGATGTAATTTTAAATGACATTCTGCCACTACCATTAGAATATCCTGTTCTTCTACAATAGATTCCTTTACCTGGGGCTCATGGATTCCACCCTGAACATATTTTCCTGACACTGGTGCAAAATTTTGTGTGTTTGTGGTTTTGAGGTGGGAATAGAGCAGGTTTGTAACCTGCATTAAGTTGTCAAATGCTGTAGGACTCCCAGAGATTAAGAAGTTACTAATTTAAGGACTGGGAATATGGTTCATGTAGTACAACACATGCCTTGCACATGCTGTGCCTGAGATTTTTTTTTTTAACTCCCAGCTTTCTGGACCTCAACTTGTTATACTACCTCTACCCTAACAGTACCACCAGGAAGGTACCACAATATTTAAAATTTTATTTTTATTTAAAACAACCTTTATTTGGTTTTGGGGCCATGCCCAGCAGTGCTCAGGGGTTATTCCTCACTCTGTGCTCAGGAGAGATCCCTAGAAGTCCTCCAGAAAACACTTGTGGTATCGGGGATTTAAACTGGAAACTACTTTGACACATTTTTCTGTCTTTCCAAGTTCTTTAAGCCTTGAACACATGTCTATTTTCCCTTGAACACATGTCTCTCTTGTCTCTATGCTCTTTGCCTGCTTATTTCCACTCAGGAGAAGCCTATGTTCTCTCTTAAACATGTACTTCTCTCTTCTTCTCCCCTCACATCTGTCTGATAAGTTTTAATAAAAACTATCTTGCTTCATCAAAGAAAAAAAAAGAAGAAACCACTGATTCAGAAACTAGTCATGACTCCTTCCCTTAGACTTTTAGTCCTCTTAGCCTTCATAGATCATTATGGCCACAAGGATCAGCTTCTTGTAAAAGCCCATAGTCTATATCAGTGTTCTTCAACTGGGGTTTGGGCTGGGGTTCGGGGGGAATACCTCCAGGGTATTCCAAGAAGAACACAGGTGAAAATTGCATAAATATAGGAGGCATGGCATAAGACTAGGGGGTCAAACTAATGGGCAGGACCCAGGAAGGAGACAAGGTTGGGAAGGGGCCATGGTAGGAAATATATTGAGAAATTGAGAAACACTATCAGTCTAAGTGTGTGCATGTGTGTGTGTGCGTGTGTGTGTGAGTGTGTGTGTGTGTGTCCATGTGTCCGTGTCCTGAATTCCAAACTCAAGATCTTATGCCAGCAAGCAAGGCAAGTGTTCTACTGCTTGTTGACCTACATCCTTGGCCTATGGTCCTTTTCTATCCATGTGTAAACTTGATAGAGAGTTGGAAATCAGTTCTTAAACTACTGTTTGGATTTGCAAGCTGGAAATTATTAGACACTACTTGTATTATTTCTCCCAGGACTCTATCTGTTGCAGTACCTCTCAGCTCTGATCTTGACCACAATCCCAGGATAATCTATTGCATGAAAAACTTTAGCAGAATGTTCTCATCTTTATAACTCCAGTTTGTCCTGAGCTATAATGGGTTCAAAATATATTTTCTTTTTCTTTTTTCAACCTAAGAGAAGTTAGGTACATTAGCCAGGAATTCTTTATCAGATATTCAGGATATGTTCTCCCCACATTTTTGTGAGCTTTTATAATACCTTCATTCTTCTGTTGGTTGTTTTGGGATTTTGCTTGCTTCTCTCTCTGTGTGATTGATTGAAACAGAGAGAGGAGATCAGGAAGGTTGTTAAAGGGATTAGATGATGGGTGCATGGGAGACTTTTTATTCCTGCCAAATGATCTTTTAAGACAAGTATTGAATACTTTTCTTTTAATTTCCCAATCACAGTGTGAATTCTTCTCTGCCAAATGGTTTTTGGGACTTCTCCTGGATTGCATGTGCCAGAGTCAGGGATTCATCTTGGCTTGACATTGCCACGTATTGAAGAGAGAACCATTTCCAGGAAAGCTCCAAGAGCTGGGACTCCTAGAAATCTTTACTTGATTGTGTGAGCCAGGCCTCCACATTTTTGACCATCTGGGAAATTTTGGATTTGAGCACCAATATCTGGCTCATACACATTTTCTTTTTTGTTCCCTTAAGTGCTTTTTTAAAAATTCTTGCTTATTTGAGAGACGTATTTATTACTATTTCATCTATGAACTCCAGGAAGAATTGTCTGCTTGAGGATTGTAAAGAAAATCATCAGAAAAAGAGTCAGTGTACTGTCTGCTGAGGTATATTACAGTTCTCCAAGCCACTGTGGTGTTCAAAAGCAGTTTTAGAATGAAGATACTTGGAAACCTTCTGACCCATTCCATTAGCAGCAGCGATTCTTTGCAGTTTTCATGTTCTTCTGAGCCATGTAATGACTTCTTCACTCTCTGAACTATGAACTCTGTGTGTTGTGCATTTCTCTGCTGGGTAAATTTGCTGCTGTTTGAGTCTTTGCCTCTGCTTTATTTCTGCAGCCCTTTTGTTTACATGGGTGATCCATCTGTTTATTTTAGACATGGATAGTATCTCCACAGTGCTATAGAGTCTATATAACCAAGGAACATTTTTTATTTTCCTATAACAGTGATAGACATAACTATTCATTAGTACTCTGCTTTCATTACCTTTCTAATGCCAAATATAAAAGATCATTCCAATTTTGTTGTTTAAACAGCTCACAATAATTTGAGTCTTGCTCAAGGTTTTTATATTTTAACTTTTCTGTAGCTCAGCCAGCTAAACCTCTTTGAAACTATTAATATGTTTTTACCTTTTATTATTGTAAATTTTTATTATCAAGGTAAATTTTCTTACCTTTTATTAAGTAACATAAATTTATAAATTTGTTTAAAAAATCCTACAGACACTATGTTATAATTTGCTGTGGCAAATCAATCACTTAAAGATTTTCTGTTCTCAATTAAGCAAAGTATTCAATGTAGTTCATATCTTTGCTTACAGAATATTTATAATCTGTCTTGGAAATGAAGACACAATAGTTTATGAATGAGCATTATGTACTAGGCTGTATATTAGTTATGAGATAAAATATTTTATTGCAGTGAAGAGTAAATAATTAAATAATAAATTAAATATATCAAGTCTCTGCCACATGATTATGGGTGGACATTTCGAAAGTTAAATACAGTTTAGTGCCTCACTATTTATGTCTAGTATTTTGTTTGTTTTGTTTGTTTTTTCCAACTCACACCTGGTGTTGCTTAGGGATCATTCCTGGTAGGACTCAGGGGATCTTATGTGGTGCCAGGGATCAAACCTGTGTCAAGGCAAGCGTCTTAACTAACCCTATGCTATCTCTGGTTGCTGCTGCTGCTGTGACTCCTCCTCCTCCTCCTCCTCATTCTCCTCCTCCTCTTCCTCCTCATTCTCCTCCTCCTTCTCTTCATTCTCTTCCTCCTCTTCCTCCTCCTCCTATTCCTCTTCCTTTCTCCTCCTCTTCCTCCTCATTCTTCTCCTCTTCCTCTTCTTCTTCCTTCTCTTCCTCCTCCTCCCACCTTATCCTCCCACTTCCTCCTTCTCCCACCTCCTCCTCTCCTCATTTCTCTTCCTTTCTCTTCCTCCTTTTCTTCCTCCTCCCTTGTTGTGGCAGAACTCACTGAACTTTAGAGTCCTTATCTGGAAGAGAAGAAATCCATTACTTTGACAGCCTCCCCTTCCCACCTTACCACCACCCCCTTCATTTCCCCGCCTCCCCCCCCCCCCCCCCAATTCTGTACTGTGGTTTTCCACTTTGTTTTTTGACTGGACAAAAGGCAGTCCCTAGGGAAGGTGTTGCCCTTGCCAGCTTTGGAAAAGAGAAGTTGTTTTATTGATTTGTATTCTCCTCTTGTTGGTTGCTGAATCATGTTTTAGTTAAAAAATTAGTATGGGTTGACATAGTCATTTATATAGTTTGAAAAATGGCTGAATCTTTGAATTATCATGTAATTCAACCCAATGTATGTTGTTTGGATCTTGGTTTAAAGCCCACCTCCGGTGGTGCTCAGTACTTGCTCCTGGCTCTGCCCTCAGGGATCACTTCTGATAGTGCTCGGGGAATCATAGAAGGTGCTAGGGATTGAAACAGGGTTGACTACATGCAAGGCAAATGGCTTTACCCCCGTATTGTCTTTCTGGTAGTCACTATATCTATTTCATAGGATATAAACTAACTTATAGTTCACGTCTCTATTTTTTTGAGTGGGGGAGTTCTGAGTAGTGCTTGGGGCACCCAGGAAGCCATTCCCAGTGATGTTCAGCTGACTTACAGGCAGGATATTTCCATGTTCAGGACTGGTGATGAGATACTATTTGGCCCTGGTAGTTGTTGGGACCACCGGAGTTATACCTAGCAGAGATTGAGGGACCATGCCATGCCAGGGATTTAACCTGGGCCTCTGCATGCCAACCCTACAACATTTGAGCTATCTCTCTGGCCCTACTTTGTCTTTAATAATGAGCTATGAAAAGGATTCCAAATGCTATGTTAAGTGATTTGGGGTTTTGTTCAATTTTGTTTGAGGGTCATACCCAGTGGTCTTCAGGGCTTACTTCTGGCTCTGCACTCAGGAATCACTCCCGGCAGGATTCAGGGGACCATGTGAGGCACCAGGGATTGAACCTCAGTCAGCCACATCCAAGGCAAGAGGCTTACTGTCTGTTTTTTTTTCTCTAGTATCCTGTAAAGTGATTTTAATGGTAGCCAGTGCTGAGATTTCTCTCTTCTTTCTTTTGCTTCTAGGTCACTCTGCACCTCAATCCCATCTCTTCAGTTCACATTCATCACAAGCCGGTCGTGTTCCTGCTCAACTCCCCAAATCCCCTCATCTGGCATCTGATGACCGAGAGGCTTGCACTTGGTGTCTCTAGACTTTTCTTGGTAAGTGTTTAAAAACCATTCTAAACAGTCCTCGGCACAAGAATATCAATCCCTAAAACTTTGCAAGACTTTTTGAAAAGGCCTATTTTCATAGACATCACACAGTTTGCAGTGTGTCAGATTTAAAGTATGCCCTTAGTGCTGTGTGCAAGGCACAGATAAACATGATCCAAGAAATAAACACCAATTGCACGTTGTCTTTGTGGCCTAGCACCAGGTTCTGTTTGCACATGAGAGAGGGTCCTGCAAAATCCTCTGTGTGGCCTGAACTTTGGTCTCAGCTCTGAGACTGCCTTGTAGTATCAGGAGCAATGTAAATATTGTAAATAGCCACTAGGTGTGTGGTCTCTGACCACAAAGTAAATATGCACAAACCCAGTCTATTTGTATATAATGCAGGAATCATTTCTGATAGGAGAATCTGTTTATTGAGAAAGTGACCCAGTGAGCTCCAAAATGAAAACATTTGTACTTTATAAAAAAGCTGGAACCCAGCTTTTGTGGAAAGATCCAAATATTACCTACTATTTGTAAATCATGTCCCTTTGAGTTTGCCAGAACATTCAACTTTGCTAGTTGTGGAGAAATTGATGGGTTGTTTGGATTGAATGTTTGGGGTATGATATCATGTCTGATGATGAACAACACTGCACTTTGCAGCGGTAATTCTCATTGTCTCTTGCTGGAGCTGATGCTAATGTCCTTAACCACAGTGCCTTAGGATTTTAGATCTCTCTTGCCCACAAGCATCCAAAACAAAAAAGGCCCCCATTAATAGTCATATATTCATATGATATCTTTGTGTGTCAAATTAATGACCCTTAATCCAGATCTATAGTTTCTTGTCACTTGAAGTCAAAGAGTTATTTTAAGAACTCTAAGGTGGGTTGGGGTTGGAGCTCAGTAGAAGAATGCTTACTTTGCTTACTGAGATTAAAGAATTATTTTAAGAACTCTAAGTCAGCTGGAGTTGGAGCTCAGTAGTAGAGTGTTTGCTTTGCATGTGTGAGGTCCTGGGTTTGATCCCCAGCACTAAACATAAGGAAAAATAATTAAAATTTTAAACCTCGAAAGTAACAATTGAATAAAAGTTCATAGTCAATTTAGTTAATAAACAGATAGATAATTAAGTTGAAAGGGGAGAAAGGAAATCGTCTCCTTTTATATAGCAGAAATCCATTCAATAAATGTAGAAGTAATGGTGGAGTAGAAAAGTCATTTTGTACCCCTTATTTTCTGTAGGTTAGGTAAAAGTCATCAGTGATAATCTAATAGAGAGGGAGAAAATTTGAACAGTGTATTTACATAGTCTGTGAATAATTATGTACAGTGGAGATACCCAGAAACACCTTGGGCAAATAATCAAAATTAAGTTTAGAGGTGTATTGTGTACCTCTAAATATCATAGCCTGAGAAAGAGCACAGTATCACTTATATAATATTTCAGCTAGAAAGAAATGCACATAACTCAAATCATGATGAGATATTGGACAAAACCAAATTGAATGACAGCCCACAAAATAGCTGGCTTGTGCACTTTAGGAATGTTAATCATGACTGATAGGTAAGGGCTGAGTAGCCTTTAGAGATGAAAGGAAACTCAAAAAAGGCACATTTGTTTCTGAACTGAAAAGAATCTTGTAGGTGGAGAGTGAGTTCCCTGCTCTAAAGGATGGGAACAATATGTAAAATTGGAATTAAGGGGAGGGAGCCATAGCACAGCAGGTAGGGTGTTTGCCTTGCATGTGGTCGACCCGGATTAGATTCCCAGCATCCCATATGGTCCCCCGAGCACTGCCAGCAGTGATTCCTGAGTGCAGAGCCAGGAGTGACTCCTGAGCATCACTCGGTGTGACTTAGAAAGAAAAAATATTGGAATTAAGCCTGTCAATTAAAGCTTTATACCAATATAGCAGTTCTACTGTTGTGAATAAGAGAATATCACCTTTTGGTTTTTGTTTGTTTGTTTTCTTGGGGGTCATATTTGGCAGTGCACAGGGCTTATTTCTAGCTTTGCACTCAGGGATTACTCCTGGTGAGGTTGGAAACTCATATAAGGTAGAAGGGATGAACTTGGGTCAGCTGCATGCAAGGCAGATGCCCTACTTACTGTACTATCGCTCTGGCCTTTGAACATTCTTAATTTGCAGGGAGTGGAGTGGGTGGGGGCATCCCCAGCAATGCTCACGGGTTACTCCCAGCACTGCACTCGGGAATCATTCTTGTCGTTGCTTGGGGGAATAAATGGGATGCTGAAAATGGAACCCAGGTGACCCTCATGCAAGGCAAGCACCCTACCTACTGCAGTATCTCTCTGGTCCCAAGAATATTCTTTTTTAAGAAACACAATGCCCTAAAGTATTTAGTGACAAAGTACCAAATAATTTTCAAAACTATGGTGTATGTGAAGAGCAATAAAACAAAATAAAAAATTGTTGCATGCTTGGAATTTTGATGAGGATTTCTAAATGGTTGTTTTTGTTTTTACTATATTTACAACCTTGCAAATTTGAATTCATTTCAGAGTAAAACATTTTTAAACTCAAATGTGTGTTTCAAAAGTAGAATTCCTAACACCACTCCCAATCCCACCACTGAGAATAGAAACACTAATACTTGTAAATTAAAATGACCAAAAGTCAAAGTTAGTTCTAGTAATTGCTATTATTTGCACTTTTATTTAGCACCTTATCTATTTCAGGTATTGCACTTAGTGCTTAGCACTTGAGCTCATTTAATTCTCACACTAACTCTAGTGATGAAGGTATTTACTCCAGTTTACAGATTTTTTTTTAAAAAAAAGATCATGAACACTGGGATTTACAAAGTTGTTCATAATACAGTCATTTCAGGCATTCATTGTTTCAACACTAATCTTACCACTAGTGTGACATTTTCTCCACCAATGTCCCCAGTTTCCCACCCACCCTCCAAGCATGCCTCCTTAGCAGGCACAAACAAATGTCCTACATATTGCTTGTTACAACAAAACAGCAAAAGTAAGTATCAGAAAAGAGATCAACTAAAAGCCCATTTGTCATCCTTGTTGTGTCTCACAGTGATGTTACTAAAGGCATTGTCTGAGGATTTACTGAGCTGGTTGGTATAGGTTGAACTTTTTGTGTTACTGTTTTCGCTTTTTGAGCTTGGTGGGCTTCTGCGCAAATTTCCTGTCAATTTTTCTGTGCTCACACTGGGCTTTTAGTAATGTGAATATGGATAAGGTGCAACATGGATGCATATGAGGCCAAGTACTCCAGAAGCAGTGGAGTCGGGACATTTATATGTCTGAGGAGGTTGAGGGTGGTGGCTGCTGGTCCTCTCTGGAAGGGAGGGGAGTCTGCCTGTCCCCAGGTTTTTTTTTTCTAAATTCTTTCTTTTACTGATCACTTTGTAGATTTAATGGAAAGCACAGCGGTAGGGCGTTTGCCTTGCAAGCGGCCAACATGGCCGACCCGAGTTCGATTCCTCCGCCCCTTTCAGAGAGCCCGGCAAGCTACCAAGAGTATCTTGCCCGCACGGCAGGGCCTGGCAAGCTACCCGTGATGTATTCAATATGCCAAACACAGTAACAACAAGTCTCATGATGGAGATGTTACTGGGCCCACTCAAGCAAATCGATGAACAACGGGAGGACCGTGATACCGTGTTCTTGTAGTCATTTTTGCTTTAATTTTGCTGAAGATCTGTAAGAACCGCTTCCTGAGCATCAGTTTAAGACACACTAAAATGTAAAAAGGACACTGCTTGAATAAACAGTTCAATATCAGCCCTTTTTGAAGTTCATTCTATGTAAGAGCACCACTGTTTTCTCCAAGGTTATCCAGCACATATACAGAGACTGAGGAAAGAAGATGATTCCAGACTCTTGGAATAAGATACCCATGCCCTTGCCCTTGCCCCAGTATGCTGGTCTCACTTTCTAGGTAGAGTTAGAATATTTGAACAGGTGATTTAAATACCAGTAACAATGATGGGTCTCATTCTCCTAACTCTGAAAGAGCCTTGAATATGCCACTTTTTAAAAAAATCTCAGGGCTAGGATGAAGGAGATGTTACTGGGGCCTGCTCGAGGCAATCGACGAATAACAGGATGGTCATAGAGGAAAGAGGATGATTCCAGACTCTTGGAATAAGATGCCCATGCCCTTGCCCTTGCCCCAGTATGCTGGCCTAGGTAGAGTTAGAATATTTGAACAGGTGATTTAATTTTTTTTTAATTAGGGGAGTGAGAAAAGTTTAGATAATAGCATTTTCCAGGGAGGCCTTTACTTTAACTTGACATATCTGTGGGCTTTTTTTTAAACTGGCTAGATTAAAATAGGAAACCTTTCATAAATAGAACAGTGTTCTGTTACTCAAAATGTCTTAGTAACCCACAGGGATGATTGAAAGCAATTATACTTTAATGTCTAATTAAGGTATGTGTCTTTATTTTATATTTATAAAATCATTCCAGTTCTTCTCATGATTGCAGACGCCAGGGAAGTGTGTCAGGCAGGGAGAAAGTGGGATTTAGTTTTCTCTGCCATTACAATTCCTTTATTTGCTTTTCCCATTACCTAGGAGGGGATCATTGAGCAGGAATCTCTCTCTCTCTCTCTCTCTCTCTCTCTCTCTCTCTCTCTTCCCTCCTCTCACTCTTGATCTCACTTTTGCTGAGTGTGTGTGTTTGTGTGTATGTGACTCACACAAATTATCTCTTACTTTCACTCCTCTCTCAATCCTGCTCCACCACATTAAAACTACAAGATTTCTTTTAAGGATTATAAAAGGTTATTTTTTATTTATGCAATTTTTTTATTTTTAAATTTTATTTCCATAAGGTTGTTTACATTAATTGATTACATTCAGTATTTCAACACCAATCCCACAACCATTTCATATTCCCACCACCATTATTTTGAATTTTCCCACCACCATTTAAGCCTGACACAGGCAGATGCTAGATAATTTATTTTCTATTACTTATTATAAATATCCTGAGAGGTCACAGGGCT